GGGGGGGCTGTCAGGGTGCAGGGCTGGGGGAGAGGGGTGATGGGGGGATCAGTGAGCGCTTTGGGCAGGGCTATAGGGGTGATACGCTGGCTGTGCCCAGCCAGGGCACCTGGGTGCCCACGCCAGACCCCATGGGCAAAGGCTCTGCCAGAAATGAGCTCACAGGAGCTCAGAAATGAGCTCCCCAGCTCCCTGTGCTGGGGAGCCCCCCCGGGGGAGGCTCTTATTGTGGGGTGCTGAGCAGGAGCAGGGCCAAGGGGTCCTCAGTGTGTGTGTGGGGGACATGCTGGCACTGTCCCCACGCTGGGGCACGCTGCCCGCTCGAGCACACTGATCCGATCGGGAAGACTGATTAAGCTGCTCGCACTAACGAAGCTTCTAATGAGCAGCACAGCCGGCGGGGGGGCAACACTCCAGCCTCCTTGGCAAAGGGTCTGGGGGGGACGGGACAACACTGCATGACCCTGTCTCAGCCTGGAGCCCTGGTGCCCAAAGGGGACCTCATCCCTGTCCCAAAGCCAGAGGGCCACCCCTCTGCTCGGGTGACCCCAGCACAGCTTCACCTGCATGCCCGATGGGGCGCCCCAGCTCTCAGCTGCCTGGCACCAGTGTAACAAGAGCGCCAGGTCTCTGCTGCCCCCCCCCCTTTCCTGCAGTGCGGGGCTTCAGCATGCTTGTCCCCAATAAGGGGGCAGCCACATGTGTGCCCATGCGCACACAAGCACACGCATGTGTGCACACGCTTGCATGCTCACCCCTCAGCTTGCTACAACCCCCCCTCTCCCCAAATCTGGGAAGGTCGGCCCGTCCTTTACAGTCATTAACCGCCCTCCCAACCCCACGTGGTAAAAGAGGGGGACACACCGAGAACACAGGCGTCCAGGAAGATGAGACACCCCTCCTTTCTGCTGTGGGGATGGGACAGAGCTGGGCTGCAAAGGGGGAGCTGCCCCCCGGCAAAGATGCAGCCTCGGGGGGGGGGTGTGTCCTTAGCCCATTCCCCAAATTTTCCATGCATGTGCTCCCATGCAGCCCCAAAAGATGCCTGGCTTGGCTGCAAACACCAGCGGGGAGGATGGATGCCCCCCAACAGGGGCGTTTGGGGTGCCCAGGGCACCCTTCCTCCCCCTTCCCCAAGGACCCTCCCCCGCCACCGCCACATGGCCAAAGATTCCCCAGCCCAGCAGAGCAGGCATCATCCATCACGCCACCTGGCACCGGAGCCTTTCTCATGCTAAGCAGCATCGCCTCACACAATGACAGCTTGGCTGGGGTGCCCGGATGCCCCCCACTTCCCAAAGGAGCCCTGATTTATGGCTGGGAAGCTCATGACAGTGGTGGGGTCAATGCTGGGAGGGGATGTCCCCATGGCATCTCCAGCGTGGTCCCCCCACTTTTTACCCACTCAAACTGCCCCCACAGAGGTATTTCAGCCTGGCAGAAGCACTCCGTGGGCCACCAGCCTTATCCAGCGGCCCCTGAACCAGCGAGGGACCCCGAATTCCTTCCCCAGCCTCCTAAGGGGGTGCCAGGGCTGCTCCTGCAATGCCAATGCAGGGTACCAGTCAGCCCCTGATGTCATCAGCCTGATGTCATTGCTCTTCACCATGCTGATGCAGTCATGGCCAGGCAAGGCAAGGGCTGCTGGAAGGTCTAAGTAGATGCTAATTACATCGTTTGCCAAAATAGCCACTCTTCCAGGGGAGGGAAGTGGGTTGCAGGATGCCTGGGGCAGGGGAACCCCAGCCTGGGGTGGGGGTCCCTAGGGATGGGGTGACTTGGAGAGGGGTGTCCCAGGTGCCTTCATCATCCAGCCACAGCTCTTGGGTGTTGCGGTGGGGGGATGCCCCTGTAATCAGCCCTCACACTTCCTGCCCCTGGCACATGGGGTGATGAACTCAGAAGTGCCAGCCCCATGCCAGAGGCTGCCATGCTCTCCCAGCCTGCCCAACCCGGCCCTGCCACCCCCACAGGCACATCCCAGCCATTTCTGCCCTCTCTCTGCGGTGCCCAGCCTTGTGTTTGCCTCTGCCCCAGTGCAGCAGAAGCACAGCATGGGAGCACGGGCACCTGGCACGGCCCGGGCAGTGGCAGCATTAGCCATAAGTGCCAGGATGGGCACAGGCAAGGGGGCACTCCCAGGGCCAGGGTGATGCAATGTTGAGGGGGATGTCCAAATCGCAGGATCCCCCGCAGTGCTACACAGCCCTGACCACCCCCAATGCAGGGAGGCTGCCCAGCCCCACTGACAGCCCTGATCGCGCTCTGCCAGCCACCTGCAGCAGCACCAGCCCTGGCCCTGGGGTGCCACGGGGGGCCAGGGCAAACTTTGACACTGCTTGTTGATGCCCATGAAATGGAGGGGGCAGAAGGGGGGGGCATGTCTTAGCTAGACTCTGCCCCTCCAGCACTGAGCAAGGCAAAAGGGTGCTGTACACCTCTCGCCATCAGTAGGTTCCAGAGTTAACGAACACACACCTGTCAGGCAATCTCTTCTGGCTCCCAGCACAACTGAGGCCACGGAGGGGCTTGGTGCTGCACTGTGCCCTCCCTCCCCAGGGCACCCCACGTCCTTGGCTGTGGAGCTTGGGGGTGCCTCCCCAGCATCCACAGCGCAGAGCTGCAGCTGTGGCATGGTCCCGCAAAGCCATCGCCCCAGAGCCAGCACAAAGGGGCTTGGAGAGTCATGGCGGTGGGGGGACGGCGCTGGCACAGCTGCCATCCAGCCCACCCCCCGCTCTGCCCCCCCAAACCCTGCTCTCACCTCCCCACTGACCTGCTGAGGGGGCCTGGGGGGGCCTGGCTGCCCGCGGACACCATCCAGGGGGCCAGACTGGCCGGCTCCGAAAGTCCCCGGCTTCATTGGCACCTCGGGCTCTGGCGCAGCAGCTGCCTGCCCGCCTCCCCCCGCCCGCTGCCTCCAGCGCTTGGCACCACTCCCCACTCGCCTCCAGGCCAGGCTCAGCCCCTCGCCGCCCGTCCCGCCGTGGCACTGGCGCCCCCCCGCACCGCCCGCCTGCCCCGGC